TTGTTTGTCTCTTTTTATAGTTACTTTATGTCTCTTTGCAGTTCCTTGTCATCTCTTTGAGGTCTTTTTATGTCTCTTTGCAGTTACTTGTCATCTCTTCCAGGTCTTTCTGTGTCTCTTTGCAGTTCCTTTTCGTGTCTTTGTGGTCTTTTTGTGTCTCTTTGTCATAATTTTGTGTCTCTACATAATTGTTTTGCCCCTTTTGTATAGTTATTTTGTGTCTCTTTGCAGTTTCTTGTCATCTCTTTGAGGTCTTTTTGTGTCTTTTTGTAGTAATTTGGGGCTCTTCATCATTGTTTGCCTCTTTTTATAGCTATTTTATGTCTCTTTACAGTTTCTTTTCGTCTCTTTGAGGTCTTTTTGTGTCTCTTTGTCGTAATTTTGTGTCTCTTCGTCATTATTTTGCCCCTTTTGTATAGTTATTTTGTGTCTCTTTGCAGTTCCTTGTCATCTCTTTGAGGTCTTTTTATGTCTCTTTGCAGTTCCTTGTCATCTCTTCCAGGTCTTTTTGTGGCTCTTTGTTGTAATTTTGTCTCTTCATCATTGTTTTGCCCCTTTTTGTAGTTATTTTATGTCTCTTTGTGGTTCCTTGTCATCTCTTTGAGGTTTTTCTGTGTCTTTTTGTAGTAATTTTGTGTCTCTTCGTCATTGTTTTGCCCATTTTTATAGTTATTTTGTGTCTCTTTGCTGTTCCTTGTCATCTCTTCCAGGTCTTTTATGTCTCTTTGTAGTTCCTTTTCCTCTCTTTGTGTTTTTTGTGTCTCTTTGTAGTAATACTGTGTCTCTTCGTCATTGTTTTGCCCCCTTTTATAGTTATTTTTGCATCTTTTTGTATTTGCTTTGCATCTCTCCTTTGTCATCGTCTTTTTCTGGTTGGTATGTGGTAGAGTGACATTTTGTAGGTGAAGGCCAGGGGGGCCCTGACACTTTGGGCCCCTGGGCCTGTGCTCTCAGTGATCCATCCATGTATGCACACATATATTGTACAGTTAAACTGTCAGTAATGCAACAGCAAAAGCTTTTATCTTATTTTCAGCTTGCTGGTGTAAGAATGCCCCATACAACAAAAGAGAAAAGTTGCAGGAGGTGAATTACTTGTGCCTTTTAACTGTGAGGAGCTTTGAATAACAATGTTAAACATGAGTGAATTTGCAAAAGACTGGCCTTCACTGAAAATCTGCCAAGCATCCTTGTCCTCATTCTACGCAGACAGGGATAACAGCATGCACAATCATTTGGCACCACCTACTGGTTGGAAAGCAAATAACACTGACTAGTAATGGCATGTTATAGTCTATGTACTGACCACAGGGTTAAGGTGAGGAGAGGAATATTAACTGGTGATGGTGGAAACAGCTGAGACTAAACAGTGTGAAACTGCACTGATGTTTTAGCAAACCTGTATATTTTGGTATACAGGTGAATGTTTTGATCTTTTCTGGGAATCTATGTCCTCATCTGATGGAGGTGAGAGGTGGGGGCAGTAGGGTTCTTACAACTTGATGGTTGAGGTGGGATTGAGAGAGAAAGCAGGAAAAATAGGAACTTTATTCACAAGGTCAGAGTGAGGCCTCGCCTGCATAATGAGCCAGAGAAAGGAGGACACCAAAAGAAAAGAAGAAGAACATAAAAGCACTCTGCATTTGTGATGATTTATTCAGAGGACTCATTGTTTTAGTTTGGCCGCAGACAAACTGAATCACACTGTACAGATTTGTATTTATGCTATAAATAGTACCTGCTCTAATTGTTGCCTACTGTATCCTCTTGATGCTGCAGCTGTCCCTGTGTGACCTGCTGCAACTTCTTCTCCAAATCCACACGAGTCCACTTCCTCCAGCACTGAATATTCCCTATTATCTCTATATCACACATGGAATTTGTAAAACTGGTTGTACTGGACTCCATTTAAAATTGTACAGGTCATCACATAACAGGAAACTGGTAGAGCCTGTCCTGCCTCATGCCACTCATATCCACTGATGCCTTAAATTGCTTAATGACAGCTTTGGGTGAAAAACTCTTGAAGAAAGCACACATTCAAGCAGAGTCCTCAACACACACAGCTGACATGAGGTCGACAAACAGGAACAACTGATTTCCTCTTGTGTCAGAGAAAAGTTAGTGGAGATCTTGGTTCAATTAAAAGCTCTCCATCACATAATCAGTTCTTCAAATTGCTTCTTCTTTTTTTGACAACCAATTTATTTATCAGAGATAAAGGCAATACACGTAATATTTTGATGATCAGTGGCATTCCTGTCCTAAAGTCTTGAGTGGCTACTTATTTTATTTATTTTCTTATTTATTTTTGCATGTCAGACATGTACCTGTCTATAAATGGAGTTACAATAGAGATGGCAGGATCATACCTTCACCCAAAGGTGCACATGCTCTGCAGTTCACCATTGTTTGATTTTCCCATTAATATATTTGCACCAAATACAGTATCTGTTGCATGGAAAATGTTATCCATCATCCGGTCCTAAATGAAAACGCCCTCATGCATTAACATTAATATTGTGTCTCTGTCAGACACCGTCAGGCCCAGTCTACCGTGATATATTACAACACTCCGGCTGACTTGTTGCCTTCCAGTGTCTCTTTGTGGTTTTCACAATATGAGTACTCGATCAAAAAAGTATGCTACTCGAATTACCTTCTCGCCTTGAACGGTCGCCTTAATTATTTAGCATTTTAATTTGCTTTTACATACATTTTGTGTCAGATTTCATCTTTGGTGTCAAGAGTTTTCATATCAGTTTCATATGAGTGACAACTGGCTGCGTATGAAATGAGACCACCGCCGTGGTGAATGATTTCTAAACTTGGGTGCTGAGTTCTCCCAGGGTCAGTGAAGAGGGCTCGGAGATAAAGAGCTTTAGGGTCGTGTTATTATTATCATCAGCTCAGCGATAAGTTTAAAGGGTGGGACAGTAATGGAGAATATGAGTCACATGGCCCACCTAGGCTGTTACTGCATGTTGGGAACAAGGAAGAGGTCAATACATCAACTCTCTGTATCTCATATTTAGGAAACACTCACTAGGAGTCAACTCAAAGCGTCTATTCGTGATTAAGTATCTCAGGTCATAGTATTTCCCTTCATAAAGATTTACCTGCCGCTATGATGGCGCTTTACTACAACTACGTCAAACTGCAGATGCTCATACATTACACTTCCGGTTTAACTATTCCGCCTTCAAATTAAAAGTGTGTTGCTGAGCTATGTGTGGTACTAACAGCTTATATCTTTTCCTTAAATATTGCAACCTATAATAAATCACATGAGCAGGGACTGGGCACTCGGTAAGCAGCGTTTGTTTTATCTCACAGTGAGGGATATAAAAGCAAGAGGGTCAAAGTTGAGTGTATAATGTTATGAGAAAGTAGTATGTCCTGATTGTGTGCATACTGCATGCAACTGTGTGTACTTTTTGGGCAGCTGCAGTTCATAATGAAAGTAAAAAGAAGAAGTATGCGATCTGGAACAAACACCATTACTTTGACCAAGAGATCCCTTTCTGGTAGAAAGCCACTGTGGAAATATCTCCTCACTGCGTCCACAGCTTGCAGAACAGTCATGGTGTCTCCTGCAGCAACAAGTGCTATATCTAACATTAGTAAACACAGCAATAAGTAAAGTTATTGCACAAATTATGTCAATGACAACACCCTCTCTAGCAAGGACCACGCCTCGACAATGTTTTTTAACTGTAATACAGGAGGTGTTAGTTGTTGAGGACTGGTGAATGGATGTAAGTGGGGGTGAGGGTGGAAGAGGGCTGTCTTCTGTTGGGTTGGTCTGGGAGGATGAACTGGAGATTGGGCAGGGGGAGACTCAAGGCGTTTCTCAATCTGCATTCTTGCCTGTACTTGTGTTCGTGCAGACTTGCGTACTGTTCCAATTCAAAGTTCGCATCCAGCCAAGTACAGTCCAAATGCCTGGAAGTGAACTTGCTCTGCCCGTTCCATCAGGGATGCGTCGGGAGATGACTTGTGTGGACTTTTGACAGCCAGGTATCCCAGAATGCATTTCTCACAGACCAGCAGCAATGGCAGCCATCCTTCGGAGTTTACTCCCGAGTCAAACTTGTCAAGTCTGAACTCCCAAGCGCGCAAGTCCGAACTTGGCGTACTTGGTATTGAGAAACGCCTTCAGTGAGGGGGTTCTGTCTCAGACATTTTTTGCACCCGAGCTGATTACAGGTCCCCCAGATGGTACCTAGAATGAGACATGGGAGAGGTAGGCACCAGACTGAATAAGGGGAGATGAAGGATGAAGGGAAGAGGGGATGAAGGAATGTCGGTAGGGTTGAGGTAGGGAGGATGATGGATGAAGGGAAGGGAAAGGGAGGGTTGGCAGGTGGCCCTGCTCCCGAACCTAGGTTAACACATTAACTTCATTAAACAAGAACAAGAGTATGCACTTGCTGAGTTTCTCAGAGGAAAAGACGCTTTCACCATTTGTCTGACTGGATTTGGTGAAAGCTTGATTTATCAACCTTATGGCCTAAAAACAAGGGGTGGCCAAACTTCCCCACAGGCTCCAGTCACCATGCTCTCCCCTATAATCCAGGCACGCTGCGGAATTTTACTTTGACATTCCCAAACCGGAAGTAGCATCGCTAGCTCGGCTCACTTAACTGTCGGCTCAACTTCAACTGGAGTTCAAGTATCCGAGACGCAAACTTCTTATCGACAGCGGCAGATAACGGGTTTAGCGAGTAGTTGGAGTACATTATAACGCTGAGGAGGAGTTGACATTTGTTTTCGTTATTGAAATATTTAATGTTTTCGCTGAAAACTAAACGGAAGAGTGGACGGAGTTTTTAACTTGACCTAGATTTGTTTTGTTGCCAGTGGGAGCCTACAGGTTAGGGGGGTTTAGCTAGCTAATCCCAGATAACTAGCGTAATCCGAGTTAGTTAATCCGTTGACACTTCTCCCCAGCACACCGTCGAGAGGAGAGGAGAGGAGAGGAGGAGGAGGAGGAGGAGGAGGAGGAGGAGGAGTGTCCTGCTCCAACGTCCGTCAAGATAAAGACTTCAAGGTTCCGCTTCACAAGTAACGTTACTTTACACAGCTGAAAAGTTTGTTAGTTTGGCGTCTCTCACACCGAATGAAAACTTATTTTACCGTACTTTTATATTTATTTTGTTTGTAAGAATGCGGACTAGACTTGAAGTCGTCAAACGGAAACGTGACGAGGCTGGTGAGAGGGTCACTGTAGCAGTAGGTGCCAGCGGAGAGCAGCTCCTCAGGGCATGAAACTTCAGCACAAGTTTGCACACAGGCAGGAAGCGACACGATGGCACTATGCGGAAGAAGGAGTCGACCCAAGCTACTTTTTTTCCTCTTTGGTGCCACTTTAGTGGGATATGTAATATTTTTTAGGAACAGCCCCGGGGACGTGTGCGCGACAAATCGACGAGAGGCCCCCGGAGAGCGCGAGGTGGATAATGAAGAGCTGAAGAGACCCGTCTATGAGAAGCCCCCCTTGGATTTAAATGCCCTGGGTGAAATGGGGAGAGCCGTCAAACTCAATCTGAACGAAGAGGAGAAGAAGAAGGAGGAGGAAAGCATCATAAAACATCAGATTAACATTTATGTCAGTGAGAAACTGTCGCTGCACCGCAGGCTGCCAGAGAGATGGAACCCACTGTAAGTTACCAGCTGATTGGTGTCAACCATTTTACCAAAGACACACTACTATCACGCTTACATATAGGCTAAGTGGATTTTTTTTTTGGAAAAGCAACGCTCACTAATTGCAGTTGCAGTGAGTCATTTGCAGTGGCTGCTTGCCACATCTAAACATGTGTTCACTTCTGTTTGGTTAATGGTAGCTGAGTATTAACAGAGGTAACCAGGCGTAAGCTCTCTCCAGGATGTCAGCGTGCAGTCTTAACCCAGTTACCCAGCTTCACCTCCTCCCTCTCAACCTGTCTCCTAACATTCACATTCCTTGCATTGCAGCTGCAGAGAGCTGAAGTATGACTACAGGTCCCTGCCCACAACCTCCGTGGTCATCGCCTTCTACAACGAGGCCTGGTCCACCCTGCTGCGGACGGTCCACAGCGTGCTGGAGACGTCGCCCGACATCCTGCTGAAGGAGGTGGTGCTGGTGGACGACTACAGTGACAGAGGTACAAGCACGGGTTGATGAAGGGGAGCTGAGGCAGACAGACTGAAGGACAGGCAGAGGAGCTGTGAGCTGTGATTGACAGTCAGAGAGGTTGTCAGAGAGACACACAAGGTGGCGCACAGACAGGTGACAATCAGCGGTTTGCCACATAGATGGATGGGTGGAGGACAGACTGACATGTTGGCAATTAGGAAAGTCAAACAGAGATACAGGAAGTTGGTGACAGGTGGGTAGCATAAGATGCAGATACAGGGAAAGCTTATACGCATCCAGATAGACTCACAGATGTCAATGTCGCACATCTGGACACACTTTCACCCTCCATATGAAACCACTAAAACATCTTGCAAAACGCTAATTAATAACATGACATGAATTGCATGGATTGTAATTTGGAAGTGTGATAAATTGTTTCAAGCACAGCGCCACTCATCAAACTCAAGTTGCAAGGACAGTCGTAAAATCAAGCAGGAGCGTGTTCTAATTTGTAGTCATTTGTTGTTTTGTCTTCTGTACTCAGACTGTGTGAAGAGCGGAGACACTTTGAGGGAGTGGTTCTAAAACGTTTTGGCTCATGACCATATGAATGAAGCAATGCCTGCCTCTCCCTCTGCCCGAGCATTGGCTACATGTGCAGAGTGGTGAACAAATCAACCAAAGAATTATGTTCTTACTTCAGATTGCCTCATTTTAGGTGTGGACTAGAGATTTAAGTACAGACATGTTTGTATTCAATCTCATAAATCAACAAACCCATCAAAACAGCATTTAGGGAGTGCTTACTGTCTGAGATAAGTTCCCAAAGCCCATTTTATTATTCAAACCCATCCAAGTACTGTTGTGCTATTCTAGTGGCGAGACACCTGATGGATGATCTGTTTTGTTTAATTTCCTGAAGACCATCTGAAGGAGCCACTGGAAGTGTATATCTCAGGTTTGCGGAAGGTGCGTCTGATCCGGGCCACCAAGAGGGAGGGGCTGGTGCGTGCCCGGCTGCTGGGGGCGTCCATTACCACCGGTGATGTGCTGACCTTCCTGGACTGCCACTGCGAGTGTCATGAAGGCTGGTTAGAGCCCCTGCTCCACAGGTTAGCAGGAAAAATTGACTCTGCCACTGAGTATTTTGTTAAAGTGTGGCCTTGTGGTTTGAAAGACTGTCTTTTAGCACGACTGAAGTGTCACAGAGTGAAGCGCTGAATCTCCACCAGCCGTCTAAAGGAGTGCTGTTATCTATCTGACTCAGACTCAGTGTGCTCAGTAACTGGGCTCTCTTTAGAGCGAGGGCAGCACATAAAAGATGAACAATTTTCTTGCTTTGTAGCACTGCTTCTCCCTCAACAGTTTCTCTCTCCTTTCTCTCCCAGGATCAAAGAGGAGCCCTCGGCCGTGGTGTGTCCTGTCATTGATGTGATCGACTGGAACACCTTTCAGTATTTAGGGAACTCTGGTGAACCCCAGATTGGGGGGTTTGACTGGCGGTTAGTCTTTACCTGGCACACAGTGCCAGACTATGAACAGAAACGCCGTCGCTCGCCCATTGATGTCATCAGGTGTGTGTTTGGGACCTGCTGAGAAAACAATTTTGTGAACACTTGTGAGATAACTTCACAGTATAGTCTCTACATGAATACTTCGAAAGCTGATTTATCACCTGTCTCTTCCAGATAAACTATTATTTATAAGATGCAGGGAAATTGTTTTCAAGTTGTCCAATCGTTTTCTCCTCAGGTCTCCCACTATGGCAGGTGGTCTGTTTGCTGTGAACAAGAACTACTTCCATTACCTGGGGACATACGACACAGGGATGGAGGTTTGGGGAGGAGAGAATCTGGAATTCTCCTTTAGGGTGAGCATTTATGTGTGTACATACTGAATGTGCAAGGCCCTAGCTTAATGCTTAATAGGCACAATTCACTTAATGTCTCCGCATAGACATGAAATATGCACATTTTAGCACCACCGCACACAGCACTGAAAAGTCATCCAGATCTGGTTTATATTACCAAGAGCTGCATCATGTGACGACTCCTCATTCCCTGTGAAAACCATCCTGAAAGAATTATAACTAAATAACCAGTGAAAACAAGCCAAAGATTATAATACTTTAATTGCAGTGAAGAATTTGAACATCCCTCTTCTTCAATAACCGCAATTTCCCAAAGGGAGGGATCCAAAAATATTTCCCTTCAACAACAAAACAGCTTTTCTGTTTCCCAGTTCCTCCACAACAAGGCTGTGCTTTGTGTTGAGTGATTGAATCATGGCTGAAAGGCTAAACCAAATCCTCGTGGTGGTGGCGGCGGCGTTGTTGCTGTCTCCTAGATTTGGCAGTGTGGGGGCAGCCTGGAGATCCACCCATGCTCCCATGTGGGTCATGTGTTCCCTAAAAAGGCCCCGTACTCGCGGAGCAAAGCTCTGGCAAACAGCGTGAGAGCTGCTGAGGTCTGGATGGATGAATACAAGGAGATCTACTACCATCGAAACCCCCACGCAAGACTGGTGAGTCTGCACAGATGGTGTGCGTGTGCATGTGTGTACAGTTTGTGCGAGTGGTATCAAACACAACTGTTTTTTAAGCATTGCATTGCAGCGTATTTATGACTGAATGTTTCCTTTATGGAGTATTGTGAAGATTTTTTTTTACACAGCTGCAATCACTTGATTTCTTACACACTCTCTCTGAGTGCCAAACATGCACAAAATTACATGTTAACACAAACTACACACACACTGCCCTCCCGCTGTGGTGTAAAAGCTCCCCTGATTAAGTGACGCTTGGGATACATGAGCGGCAGACACCCAAGGTGACAGGGGTGTCAGGGCGTTCCGGTGTGTGATTACCACCTTTCCGTGTCACTCGGTGCCAGCGGGTGTCACCCACCTGTCCTTGACAGGGTGAGAGCAGTGCAAACCCATGGGGTGCCCTGCTTTGGTGTGTGTGTGTGTGTGTGTGTGTGTGTGTGTGGGAGGAGCCAGGCCAGTGTGTGACAGTGTAGTTAAGAGGAGAAGCTCTCTAAACACAGATCAGGTGGCGTTCATCTCCCTGAGAGGAGGTAGCCTTGCCAACCTTGCGGTGGTTTGGCAAACTCAATATGCCAAAGCCTCCAAACTAACTCTTGTGCTCCCATTCTGATAGGTACACACACCCTCATACATACACAGTCTTGCGATATATTATTTTAAATGAGGTTTCATTCAAATGATACTGTAAGATTTTCAGTGGCTGGCAGTCTTATCTTACCTGTCATTTGTTGTTATGTTTGCTGTTGTTTTCTAGCATTTCTGGCAGTTTAATGAGTTTCAATTCCCAGATGCAGATTTTGGCAGACTTTATAAACAGAGTTTTAATACCTGTTGTAAATTTAAACAGCACATTGCTCAAGATATTCATTGCTTATTCCTGTTTAATCCCTTAGAGCTAGCAGTCGACACGCACACAAAGTTCTCCTTTTGTCCCTTCAGGACGGCATTCAGGTAGTATTAATTGTGTTTATTTGCATATTTTTATTTAACCTTCAGTCCTGATTTGGTTACAAGCCCACAATCTAGGAAACCTGAGTCAGTCTAATATATATTGATGGTTAATTTTAATATTCTAGTCAGTCAGGTTCAGGTAGTGCATCCTCCCCAGAGCAAAAAAAGCAGTACATTGGGGTTGCAGGATGACAGGTCACTGTAACTGTCAAGTTAATGAGTCACCTGTCAGTCCATGTAAGTTATGTTTACAACTCTTGGTCAATAAGTAATACAGCAAGTAGATTGAAAATGCAGCAGCGTATGATTTTCATGTCTGACTCAGACAAAAGAGCGAATCTGTAAGCATGTGTCTTGTTTTCTAAATGTTTTTTATTCTCCCTTAATTGGCACCTCATCGGCCTCTTGTGTGCATCACATTGGCCTCTAGTTGCTCTTTAAGTGTCCTTAGTGACCCCTTATTGATCTTTGTACTGGATTGTCATCAAACTGCTAGTCACTCTCACATTTGCTCATTGTTGTTTCAGTAGCTCGACTACTAGTCCTCACATACTGTAGTGGCCCTCAGTGTCCTTTGATGGTCTACACCGGTCGTACCAGTTGACGACAGAATCCGTCTCTTGAGCAAATAAATTGACGACAGGCCAATCAAAGCTGTGTTTGCGCAAACCGACAACATCCATCATCTTGTAGTGCTGCTGAACTCTTCCTCCAGCAGGGAAGGTGTGACGAGCATATGCTCATTCACAAATCAAAGTGGAGACTGTATTCTTCTCTGCACTCTAAATCACTAATCATGTTCACTGTGGTGTGTATGCATAACTACGTCGGCATAAACAGGGCTCGGAATACTTTTTTTGCTGTGTACAGACACTGATGCATGAAACATTTAAAATGACATGCACCAAAACTTTTGTTACCTGAACCAGTTGGTGAATTTTTCGTTCTTTCTTGGCACTTCCACCACAGCTGTGGTAGGGTCAGATCACAATTTCAGCAAACAAACTGACAGTTCTCAAAGTCCAAGCGGCACCTGGCTTGACCAAAGTTTTGCAGTGCTCTGTCTTGTCTGTGTGCCATGTCAGTTTTGTGTTTTTGCACTGCAACATTATCAGGTATAAATTTGTTTTTCACTGGGTGACAAAATGGACGTGTGGCATGAGACGTGAAAAGTGTAAACTACGTGAGTTTCACAGTCAGTGCGGGAGACTTGGCAGCCCTGAGTTACATGGGCTGTTGCATGTGAAGTTGGGAGTTGGTATAAATTTTAGGTGCCCTATCACACATGTGCATGTGGCATTTTAAGCCCTGATAAAGGTGATAATGTAAGCAAACACATATTATTTGCATTTGCTAAGAAGCACACAGACAGTCAACCATTGTGCTGTTGTTTGATTAAGGTGGAGGAGTTGTTTTTATGCCTCCGATTGGTGACTGTTTTTGGACGTGAGGCATCCATATTTTCACAGACATGGATGTAAACTGTGAGAGGAACTTGACTGGTGCATGGAGGCAATTCTAGTTTGTCTTCGTGTGAAGGCATGTTATCAATAGGAATGAGACTTTGTAGAGGAACAACTATGGTGCTATTGTTTTGCATTTCAGCAGAAATATATGCTATAAATACATCCTCTGACACTGCAGCTGTCTGACACCGACTGCATCAGGTGTACACACATAAGGGTGTAAAGATGGAACTAAAATAAAATGGCAGAACGTCATCTTCTGTCTTTGTTTCCAGGAAGCCTTCGGGGACGTGACGGAGCGGAAGAATCTCAGGGAGAAGCTGGGCTGTAAGAACTTCAGGTGGTATCTGGATAATGTTTACCCCGATATTCATGTCCCAGAGGATCGGCCAGGCATGTTTGGAATGGTGAGTCACTAATTGTTTGGTTTAAATTGGAGTATGAATTTACCACTTCTCACTAGTTTGATTGAATTTAATCAAGCTGAGCAGTGCATCCAAGAGACTTAACAAAAAAAGCCCTTTACAAATGCATGCTCTACTTTATGGCTGAGGTGGTGCGGACTGAGTAGCGCATGTCTTAATAATGTTACCACAAAAAATACCTCCACTATATAATCCATGCTCTGCTTTATAACTGCGGCAATTATGTCAAAGCAAGCAACTAATTTGGCGCTTTGGAGATCAATACATTTGCTCAGTGTATTTCACCAGTGTTTGTAACCGTGACTTGGTACTTTTTTATTTTTCACCACAATTCTCGCCTCCCTCCACTGGTTGCCAGTTTACCTTCAGAATTGATTTCAAGATTCTTTTAATAACTTTTAAAGCTGAGCATGGTTTAGCACCGAGTTATATAGCTGAGCTTCTGACTACCTATGCTCAAAGTTATGACCTGAGATCCTCAAGCCTGACCTCAATGGTCGACCCTAGATCAAGGCTGGTAACTAGAGGTGCTCGGCTTTCGCTAACAAGGCCCCGAGAGTCTGCAATTCTCTGCCTGAGGAGATCAGGCTGGCAAGCACATTGTCTGTTTTTAAATCATTGCTTAAAACATATTTTTATAGGAAAGCTTTCCCTTTTAATGCCTGATTTGTACTTTGTACTACATATTTAGTAGCCTAAAGGTAAAGTAATTGTAGACATAGGATATTTTTCCTCTTAAGCAGAAGTACAAGTCCACAGTAAGTAACTATATACCCATGAGTTGCATGTCCAATTTTGACATTATTTCGGGGCACAGTGAGTCAGAATAGCAACATAATATAATATTTTTCATGTCTAATTATCATAATAAGTCTATAGCTGTTTGGGACACAGGTGTGTTGCTCAGGACCATAAGAAGCACAGCGTCAGTGTGAAGTTGTCTCTTGTGAAGTGGTTCTTGAGAAAGATTCATGCAGCAATACCACAGGCCAGACCATGCACTGTACTAGTTTTATTAATATGTAAAAAAAAAAAAAAAAAAGATCTATTGACGTTCCTACTTTTTGCTTATTACAGCTGAAGAACCGGGGGAAGACCAACTACTGTTTTGATTACAATCCTGTAGATGAACACACAGTGGTGGGCCAAAGGGTTATCGTGTACCCGTGTCACGGCATGGGTCAGAACCAGGTAATGGACGTCAGTCTTTCACGCTGTCAGCCATTAAATGTTTCATGGTGTATTGTCTGGTGAAAAGTCACTACAGTGTTTTGTAATGTGCATGAAAATGTCTTTGTTTCACATCTAGTTGCTTATGTTTTCCCACTTAACTGCATGACAATTTATGGATAAAAACACAGCATACTGTATGTTTTCCATTTCCCTAAGACAGCAGTAATCATATTCATCAATAGCAAAAGTAATACAGTCGTCTCACTCCATCGTTGACCACAAAGGTTTGTAGTTTTTATCTTACAGATCAGGGAATAGTGGACTAGATAGCCTATTCCAGGTTGAAAAATGATATGTTGGCCTCGCTGATACAAAGGAAAGTGCTTTTTCTAACACATTTATCCTCTATGGCTGACAGTAGTCCAGGAAGTATTCTCTGAAATTTACCATTGTTATTCCAGCAGCCCTCCGTGGACACACACTCATGTCTTCTCTGTAGGAAGTGGGCTCAGCCGTGCTTGTGCTGTCTGCCTTATTGGAGTGCTCTGCAGGTTGCAGAATCACTTCACACTTTGATTCGCAGTCTGCACACACACACCAGTGGTACACGGTGTGTTTATGTGTGTGCACACAAACGTGCGCACACACACAAAAGCGATCTCTTGGTACAGTGTGTCCATTTGCCTTCTTCCTGCATGTCTTCTCTCCAGAGTCACACATAGACACTGAAATATTGCAAAAGCTGGGGTGACCTCTAGCTCACCTGGTAGAGTGTACGCCTTATATATCCTTTGCAGTGGCCAGGGTTTGAGTCCCACACTGCCACACCCACACACAGAATGTTTCCATTCAGCTTTTATTTGTCATGACACAATTTCATGATTGTCTTGGTCCTCCCGCAGTTCTTTGAGTACTCAGAGGATGGTGAGATCCGTTACAACACAAGGGAACCTGCTGGATGTGTCGTGGGTGACAACATCAGCACCTACCTGACTCTTCAGCTGTGTAGAAAACGAGGGCAGCCTATACCTGCAGATCAAAAATTTCTCTTTAGAAAGGTAAGGAGTATATTTCTGTTGTTAATGTCTGTGTCTATTAAATTTTGATTCAAAGATATACTATGTGGGATTGTCAGTTACTGTTTGTAAACCTGCTCGCCAGCAAAAATGAAAGCAACCCCAGATTTTCTCTAGTTTTGCACTTCATCTCACTGTATTTGCATTATTTTGCATACCTGCTGCTCACGGTCTGGTACCTGGTCGCTATGTTTTTATAAAGCCCCAACCTCACCTGTGCACTGTGGAGGTACACACCCATAAACATCCCAAACACAGAAGTGAAGAAAATACAGGCAGAGGGCAGAGCCTCTGCAGATAAGACACAGCCACACCCTTCTAGTGGGTCTTAAGTACTTCCTTATCAGTCTGTACATTGTTTTTGTTGGGGAAAATCCTGCGTTGTATATCTTTCATGTGCCAAGAACTGCAGTTCATCAAAAGGCCACTTGAGGCTTACTTCAGAATAGAGTCAATCCCCACAGGCCCCTAAGTTTAAATGCCCAACTTTACAGCAATAATGAATGTGTTTACAGCGTGGTACAAAAAACAATTTTGGTCTCTTTAACTAATTTCAACATTCATGACAACTGTACAGGGGGTGAGTTTTTATGTAACTTACCCATTAACATTTTATTAAGGTCCAAGGTTGCGCGTATTTAAGGGTGGGGCTGCTTGAGCAACAGGCTGTCCTTCTCTTGTCCAAATTTGGTCACTTGCTCCAAAAAAAACAAAATGGCGATGTCCGAAATGCCAAACTCCAGGCTTCAAAATGGCAGTCCACAAACCAATGGGTGATGTCACGGTAGGTATGTCCATTAGTCATACAGTCTATGGGTGGTGGTGAAAGTGCAGGATGGAGTGATTTTTAGAGTCGCTGTCTGGGAGGAGAAGAGAATTGTAACATGATAGCTAAGTTGGAGTCCACTAAATATTTTCCCTTTGATTTTTGTCTGACTTCTTGTTCATCATTCCACATTGTTTATTACTTTCCTTCTTGAACCATCACTAATGCCTCACAATATGCTGCGAACCAAATTCTCAAACACTTAACATTAGCAGACACCCATCCTATCACCTACAAACTCTCATCTTTCCGCTCTCTTTTGCTGTTACACACTCAGACTCTACTAAAGGATGCAGATGTGCCTTTTCTCGCTTTCTTCTGCCTATTGTTTTCCTTGGAAATCTGATGATTAAAAAGGATTTTGGCACTAGATATCATTGTCTTAAAATTTAGAAAACATTGTACTGCGGGCAGAATAATTTCATTGTAAACTGATATTAAAATAATCTAGATCTTTCAAATGTTATTACGCGATTGAAGCTGAGAAAACTGAATCAGAAAGTCCCCAAAATCTAATTCATGCCGCAGTCAAAGTCATGTCATGAGCGATAGTGTGGCTGATGCTAAACTGTAAATCAAAGAGCACCAGTAAGCTAGATATACTCTTCACCACACAATGCTGCAGGTTGTTTAGCATGTGTCTAGTGTAGCCACACCACACTAATGTCAGCAGCTAAACCACACCATCTAAATGTAAATGAATCTCAGACAGACAGAATGGATGGGCAGACAGAATATCTGTGTTCCAATACTGAGCTTTGTTGCTCTTAAAATGGTGATAGCTACATTTTGTAACCACTTGTTGGCCATTTGAGAGATTAACCAGCACATGAGTATTGTGTTTTGGTCTTTTAACATTAAGTTGTTCTCCACTTGTTTTTTTTTTTTTTTTACAGGATGGGAGCCTGTACCACGTGGCAAGCCAGAAGTGTGTCCAGGCGTTAGACAAGACAGACAACGGGACACCAGCGCCCTCGCTCCAGCCCTGCTCTGACAGCTCCCACCAAAAGTGGTTCTTTGAAGAGAGGATGTAATGGTATCAACCTCGAATATATGTGCAAATACATTTCTTATTCAGGGCCGATATCCTGAGGAGGGATATGGGTGGATTGAATCGCTAAGTGTTTTTTGATATGTTTGCCTTACCCTGAAAGGAGCCCAAAGGAGGAAGCTTCCGTGCTCCCTTCCAGGCTCTAACCTTTGCACATTCCTGTGCCAGCTGGATTTAATGGACCAAGAGGAAGTTATACTTAAAAGTACTTCATTTCTGAAGTACTTTGTGAATATATATGAGAATCATTTTTATTTGGATGCTGTTGCTGGGAGACAGGAGTCTACTGGAATATGTATTGTTTTGTAATCAAGGAGATTTAATGAGAACTTACGGAAGTGTAATGCATTCAGCTGAGAAAAAAATAGTCCTGTTTTTCTGAATGAATAAGATTGTTATCTCAGGATTCTGGGAAATGTGTTCATGCACAAAAGATTCTCGGCATTCTGACAGAATAATCTCATTAATTCAGAAAAGAGGGGCTGCATCACGCTTCCACAGAACCTGCACAGTTGTACATGCTGACATTTCTCGTGTTTTTCATTTACCCACTCCACTACTGGTGCAATCTTTGAGATTACTTTAGCTCACTTGCTTTACTTTACGCACGCATGGACAAACACTGAAATGTGTGTGCATTTGTCTGAGTGGAAGTAACTATTTTATACCTCTGTCATCAAACTCAGAGCCTCACAGTGATTCTCAGAGCCACATCACGAGGCATTCTAAAATGTCTGCACCTTCTCCTGTAGAGGGGGCCAGCGCTCCTCTCTGCAGGTTGCTTTCCTCCACTGTGTTCTCTATTTGTTGAGAGAAAGTGGGACAAATCTTGAGGTATTTTGCTAAGACCCCTTTTCAGGACGTTTTGAGTGCTTTCTACTCTTACATACCAGTGGCTTAGAGAAAGCCTTAGATCACAGGCATTTTGCAAGTACCTAGTACCTCTTCAACTTAATCACCTAACTACTGATAACAGGAGCAACTCCAGTCTTATTCTGCTCTGCTTTGACTGAAGTCGTTTTGCAATGCAAATTTAACATTATGGTAAAATGACACGGGTCAGGTCGCTGGGTTTGTAGTAGTTTTTGTAACTTTTTTTTTAATGTAGTGCACTTGCCTTTGCTGTGTGCTCTTTAAATGATATGCAGTTTCAGAAGACTAAATCATAGCCATATTTTCTGGATTTTCTTCATGTGATGTCAACTATGTTTAATTATGTATTTCTAAGACTAAATGACTGTGTTATTTCAGCTTGACTACAGACATATCTCAGTTTCGGTCACTAATAAGTGGGGATTTATTTGACTTAAAGGAATACTTACCCTACAAAATGACCATTTCTGTATCAAATCATTGATGTGGTTATACCTTAAATTCATGACGCTGAACATACTAATTTTTTTATTTATTTTTTTTGATTGATTGGGGACTATGTTTAACAACATCTATATCAAAATATCCATTTACAAACTGTCACAGAACTCATGCAGTATAATCCAAGTCTCATTTATTCAGTTGTATGCTCAATACTTTCCAAACACATGCATTTTCGTGTGCAAACATTTCGATTTAAAACCAAAAGTGAAACTTATCTATGCTCCCTTCAAAGCCAGACTAAGGTTTTTTAGTAAAAATGTATGTGTTTGGAAGCACTGAGCATACGACTGGATCAGTGAGATTTGGATTACACTGCACGGGTTGTGTGAGAGTTTTTGTAAACCAAAGTTATGACATATTTTTGAATGGAGGCATGTGAGAAAGCTAACTTTTCTTCACAAATTCAAGGTAACACGGTGTGACTTATTGATTTCCAAATGGTCATTTTGTGGGTGAAGTATTCGTTAAATGCTGGTAAGTGCAAATTGCAAGAATAAGCTCCTCTTAACACGCTCCATCGAAAGTGCCTAAATGTAAAAAAACATATGGTATTCCTTGAGGAAGATGCTGTAATGCTGAATGTATATTTTGTCACACAATGAGACAGAAAGAGAATGGTGGTTGAAGTTGTAACAAAGTGTCTGCACACTTAATATGTACGCTTCCCTGCTGAGAATACAGTACGCATAGGAATAGCTGGTACTCCCCTGAGTGCACGTGTATTTCTCTCGTGGGCTGTACTGATTTGTGCACGCCGCCTCTGTTCAGACAGCTATAGATCCCTCTGTTGTTGTGGTCACTTGTGCGGCAGTCCCTCAGGCTACACAGACCAAGGGAAACACAGCGGAGGAGTCGACAGTTGTTGGTGTCTCCAGAGTGCTGCGATGCCAGATGGCTTCCCGATTGATTTTCTGGTCCTCTCCCAATTCTTTTTCACCACCTCTCCTTTGCGGTGTCAGAGGTGTGCAGCAGAGGACTTTCTCCTCCTCAGATGAGCACTTGTTACTTGTGTGCTTGAGGTTTGATTTATGAACTGGAGTCGTCAAGAGTACAGTTTTTGGCAGCAGAAGCAGATAATGGAGGAGACCGAATGAAGCAATTTGTGACCTCTTCCTCACGATTAACCTTCACAGACTGTTGGCCCGCTGGTCTCAAAGGAGCTTTGTTAGGGGGCGATCGTACTGAAATAGATTTCTTGCTATTGATTCGGAATGTAAACTCACTATAAGATGAATGGGAGATAAAAAAAGACCATTTTGCCAGTACCACAGCAGGGACTTGAGTTAAATCACAACCCCCTGATTTGCCAAATACAATAAATGCACAGTTCTGTGCAGGAACATCTGTGCGTACGAGCTCACATAGTACAACCCTAAAGGGACAGCGCAAGATGTGCTTTACTTACTGCTCTGAACATATCTATAATTTCACTGCTGTGTGAGGAGCATTGTGTCATGAGATGGCTGCACTGTGTGGGATGAAGGCACTAAAGAAGCTCCAGTACTGGGAGATAGACATCATTTTTGGGGTTAAAGTTCCCAGTAATCCATAAAGGCTTTTGCTGGCACTATGAGTGCTATATCATTGTGCAGACAAAGCTTGCTGATAAGTGGAATGGACCAAATGACTGGAAGATTATAGTCTGCTCCAAAGAGGGAGGTGCAGCTGTCTATGAAGGATTGTATGAAGGTTTCAGGAGATAAAGCTTGATCTCGATCTTAAAGGGACAGTTCACCGCAAAATCAGAAAAACCTCTTGTGCTGGTTATCAATCTAGATTTTATTGTGATATGAGTTATGAGTGGGGATGGAAATGTTTACCTTCTTTTAAATATGACAGAACTAGATGGGATGTGATGCTCAAAGCGCCAGATAATCCACAGACCTTGTGTGCAGTTTCATGTAGGAACTACTTTCTTTCTCCCAAGCTACACCTGCCAACCACATCACCACGCAGGAGGAAGCTGGCAAGAGGCTCATGCTCAAGACAACGCAAGATACAATGGTGTCCTTTTTGGCTGAGCTTTAATAATAGCTGACTCAGTGGTGCGAGGTGAGCCAGGCCCCAAGAAAGAGTGTTTTGAGGCCAATTTTTAGAGCGGCCAAACAGTGTCATCACATCTGTTTTGGGCATCTAAACCCCTCTCAAAATGAATTGTTTGGCTATCGAAATTTGATTGGATTCCAGTTACATTCGTAAAGTCTAGAAGAGGCAACACAACTGAACCATTTTATCCCCATTCAAATTCATAGAGCATGAAACTGGCAGTAGCAGGCTTGGCCGTCAGAAGTCTGCGCAGTGATATGGGTGGTGGGTGTAGCTCGGTAGAACTGCTCGCAACAAGGATCTGTGGATTATCTTGAATAACTGAGTCATGGTTTTTGGAAAGAGACATTGCTGTTGAGTTTTTCAAGTGTATTTTATTGGCTGCTTTGAGCACCACAAGTTGAGTGTCATCTAGTTCCAAATATTCAAGAGAAGGCAGACATCTCTACAGCCGATATTTCACTCAGCACTTCACCCCAAACCAATCTAGACTGATAACTAGCTCTACAGGCAAGAGGAAAAAAATGTGTTTGATATTGGGGTGAACTGTCCCTTTAATAAAGTAGCACCACATCGCCCAGAAATGTTTGGGAACAGGTTGTTCCTTAGGAGTTCACAGTCGCTGGCAGTCCTGCGGACTCTCATGGAGTTTCCCTGCTATGATTTAAGACTAGGAAAAGCTGCTTCAGTGAGTTTCAGCCGCGAGAGATCAAACTCACCAGGAACAGGTGAAATTGCCCCCCTAATACAGCGCTCATGCTTTATGTATCGAACACTTAAGAAGTGACAGCTTTTCTATTTCGATCAGTTTGTGTCTTTAGCCTGTGAGTGCGGCATAAATATTCTATCCTGTTATTAAAAGGGTTATTTATCGTCCCCCACGGCCATCTGTTATGCCAGACATGTCCTACATAGTAAAACCTTTTTTATGCTGCCATTATATTGTATGCTAATTTGATCCACGCAGCTGCAGTAAAATTGATATTCGCCAGTCGAGGATCATATCTCTCTGGCAGGTCATATAGGGCTTTTATATCAACCCAACCTGTGTCGTAAACAGTAGTGATATTCCAGGGATCTGCTGGAGCACTTGAACCTGCAAAGTGGCTGATTGAACTCTCACTCAACCTGAACCTGGACCAAGCAGTGCTGTTTTACAGGCGCATGCACATTTTCTTCTGTTTATAATGGTAAACAATTCCCAGTGGAGACATTTCAGTTATTTAAGTGGTAAAAATGCACAAATAATTATGCTGGAATTTCACATTGTGTCGAGTGTATTCATGCTGTCAGTATCTCCAGTGGCCTTAAACTGTTTAGAGGAAAGTGAAGGATATGATTAACAATATTTTTGTATTTGCTGGACCATGTCTGATGTCTATGTGCCCGTTTAACTGATGTCAACTGTTAAATAAGTAAACACAAATGTAATGTTGGATTTGTGTCGCTGCTCATTTTGTTTTCAGCATTGAGTTTTATGTCCTTAACACCGTTGGCAGGCTTTATTTATGAAAAACAATCCTAAAAATACTTTTGCTCTCACTGTACACCACCCCGTATCTATTAAAGTGTGACTCATCAGCATCCGCAATGAGGAAAACAGGCTATCATCCACATTTAACTGTGATGGAGACGTGAATCAAGATGCTCGGAGGGTAATGAGAGAAGAGAAAGAGAAACAGAAAGAGGAGGGGGTCGAGTTTTCCCAACCATATCTGATTGGTTTGATCACCAGCTGCTGAGTGAGATGGTGAAATGTCGTGCCCGCGCCAAGTCGCTCTGTTCCCCCTGGTGTTGATGCTCTGCCCTGCAGTCGCTCTCAATTACTCATTGATGATGCTCTGCTGTTTGTCTCATAGAATCTTGAGTGTGTGTGTGGGCCACATCTTTGTGACAACGGCTTGGTGAACGCTGGATGAAAGATAAAAAGCTTTTAAGGACGCTAAAATCTAATCCTTTTCATCACACTAAAAAAGGTAAAATTCTGCTCAGTTTCAGCTCTTAAAGTGCGCCACACTGCTGGAAATAATAGCATGGAACATTTGTACTCCACACGAGACAAGCTGGTTTCTCTCTCGCACAGGATGACATGCTCTGATGGAAAACTTGCCAGAAATCTTCTCATTCTGACAAATGCTGCCTAGACACCACTCGATTTGCTTCCTAGGAAAATGAGAAGCACTGCAGAAGGCTGTGATGCTGCTGTCTCTAGCACTGTCTCATCCTAATCTTTTGGGTGCTTCCCTGTGAGATACGCGGTACAAAACAGCACCATAAAATATCCTGAAATTCAGCAAATGCGTCCACGGAAACGCTGCATGTCGTTGCAATCTCTGTGCCCAGCGTGGGCTTCGTTTTTGATCCTGGTGTGGCATACATGCAGCACTGCAGTCCCTCACACTCCATATGTGTCTTTAATGATAATGCAAAACAAGGCTCCCCATGGTGCAAGTCTTTGGAGATGCTGGGGCTTCAGTTGTCAGGGAGCAAGGCACACACACACACACACACACACTGACAGCAGGCCATTTCCACACTGCATGTCTGTTTAGTTTATGTAATGCCCAATACCCAGAACAGCTCAGGAGCAGCGACTGTTGGCTGCATACATTAGATGACACACTTTCACTTTCAGGAGGGACTCCAGACGGTGCAGTAAACATGTGAGGCCTAGATACAGAGATAGCATAGCATTTCTTATGCACCGCCGCTGCTGCCTGGCATCTGATTAGGTGGATCTTGTAGCAGAGGAAAGCGGCACAGTTTCCAGGAAGTCACTCGGTTGTTAAATTAGTCGAAATAACCAAGTATTCTACAGATCATCAGCCATATCTGAGCAATGGTATTATTCGCTGTATCGTGTGCATCATTTCCATTTGGCAGTTTTTCAGGGAAGCAAGGGAAAACAAGGAAAAACAGTAATTAACACTGGCAGTTTTTAACACTGCAGGCATCTGGAAGTGTGAGTGCAACTGTGAAAATACAGGCAACATATCATAGATTTTGTTATGACGAAAAGAGAGTTGGCAATAAATAAAGTCTGATGTGAAATTATAGGGGCAGTGTGTAGGATTTAGTGGCACCTAGTGATGAGAAAACAGATTGCAACCAGCTGAAATTGCTCCAATGTGCCAAGAATGAGCTCCTGGTTAGAATTCCTTCAGTGTTCATTGTTCAGGAGGTTTTGACCGGGAGCTGAATTATCTGCAGAGGTCTCCTCCCCTCTAAAACAAATAGACCAGGTGATTAAAACTCAACTTTTCTCTCTGATAACTTGCGATCCAGACTTTTAGGAGGTTTTAACCAGGAGCTGAATTAACAGCCAAGATCTGCTCTCCAAAACAAACAGATTTAAACTGGTAAAAACACTGAATGAGGCAGTTTCATAATAAAAAAATCAGGCATTTTTCCGGCGTTCGTCAAAAAGGGGCTGCTTACTACAATGGCTAACGCAGAAAAGTGAATGGCCCTATCTGGAGCCAGTGTTTGGTTTGTCCGTTCAGGGCTACTGTAGAAACATGACAGGGAAACATGGCAGACTTATGGTAGATATGAACGGCTCATTTCAAGGTAAGGAAAACACAACAATTCTTATTTTCAGGTGATTATACATTTAAGAAAACATACGTATTATATTCCATTTCTACCCTCCTCCCTCTAAATTCTACACACTGGCCCTTTAAGGTTTTTATGGCCCCACGAAAACATTTGTAGAGCAGTGATGTGAAACACAAAAATCACAATAATACTCAAGCAGAGTGAGCATGGAAAAGAATAATCTGATACAAATGATGCACTCAGTATTTCTCCAAATACTTAAAGGGCCAGTTTCACAGACGTGCCTCGACTTAAAGACTTTTTCAGTTGAAAGCCTTCTTCAGTGTCGGATCAAGCTGATCTAATCCACGTCTGTGAAACCAGCCGATACAGCATCAAAGGCAGCTTGCTTGTTGCTTATTTGGCTCGAGTTCCCCCTGCTGTTTTTTTCCAGTGGAGTCGGACCTCACCGGGAGCCGTCAGGGAACATAGTCTCAGCTTTCCAAAAAAAATATGATTTAGCTCAGAACGCCACAGATGACAATAAAAATTGCAGTGTTCACCCTCTGCTGTGCAACCATTCGAATCCAGAATTCAGACACACAGCGAAGGCATCGCCACAGCTGACTGATAATTTGCCAACTTTTCATTTTCTCATTAAAAGATGTTACGACCCTGTTCTCAAGCTGAGCAGTTTGAACACAAGTGTGAATCATTAAAACAAGTAGATGGGAATATTTGACTTTGATTATGAAGGTGATTGTGGATAATATCTCACCCTTTTCAATTACTGTCACTGTTGGAGTGTAGCTGTAAATTAGTGGACCATAGCTTTGTTCATGACATCAATGGACCAGTCCTTGATAATGAGTCACTTGTCACTTGCTCAGACTTGCTACACAGATGATTCTGACCACAGATGCTCTGTTGCAGACTGAGGAATACGACAGGTGTTTTTAAATCAACAGCCATCATGCTCCTTTTCCTGCTGCTCCTGATTCCTGCATAGTTATACTCCGGTTATTCAATTCAATTCAATTCAATTCAATTAAAAGGCACACAGAGTAGCACATTATGTTACCACATACAACACAAAGAATAAATAGTATTATGTGTTTAAAAAAAGGGGGGAGATAGTTGCAGAAGTCCACTGAAGTGTGGTAGTGCAGTCCATGGGAGAGGTAGTCTGAGACGATGGGAGTTGAGGAAATAGACAGCCATGGGCGCAAAGGTTGCCTTCCTCCTCTGCGTCCTGCAACCTGGGCAATGAAGTCTCCGCCCTGAGGGGAGCCACTCAAACCTCGGAAACATGACGTGATGGATCCTGCAAGATCCTGCAGGCCATTTTCATGGTCTGCTGCTCACATAAGGTAGAGAGGGCGCTCAAGGGCTGACCAATGATCTTGGAGCAGACTTTGACAACATAAAGTAGGCGGTTTCTGTTATGTAAATTGATGGAATGAAACCAACAGGATAGCAGCATGGGTCCAAGGAGGGCAGTGATATAGCTCATCAGTTATTGGACGGATTGCGAACATGTGCGCATCACTTAGATGCTAGCAGAACCGGCCCGCCAAAGGGTCCTATCTGGCCCACTAGATGACTAAGAGGAGCAAGTGATAAAAAAATAAATAAATAAATAAATAAATAAACAAATAAAAATAAAATATAAAAAATAAAATAAAATTTAAAAAATAAATAAATAAATAAATTTAAAAAAAATAATAAAAATAATAATAAAAAATAAAATAAAAATAAAATAAATAAATAAATAAGAGGAGCAAGTGAAACAATGCATTGCCTGCTTCATGTAAAATTTAGCTTCAGAGGCTTTTTCACTACCTGACCAAAATACAGTCCCCTGATATAACAATGAATACAAAATATTGTCAATCAGCAGCTTCAGCTCAGAAGAATTTGTATCAGGAAATGTGTGGATAAATGCACGTGTAATGACAGTGAAAAGTAGAAAAACTGAGATATACTGTTGAAATTGCACTTATTCATCTGAAGACATCTCAGGTTGTTCATCTGTTTGTAAAAGGACAAATGTCTACAGAATGTACTTGTAGTTCTTAATACAAAAAAAGAGAAAATATTAGAGCTGATGGAACTTATAAGATAATGTGTGATGGTTTTATTGGTCCGGCCCATCTGAGATCAAATTGAGCTGTATGTGGCCCATGAACTAAAATGAGTTTGACACCTTTGCTGTAGATTCTGCGGCGCTGTATATGCTGCACGTAGGGCACCAAAACAGCCCAATATAATCATCATCGATCATAATTATACATTTTGCATTAACTCTCCCAGGTAAGGCTCAGACACAACTCAGTTTGAGCTCTGCTGCCGATGCTTTCAGTGAATACAACACAGCTGCAGTGCGGGGTTGCCTAACACTACACTTACGCTTATAGGTTAATATTAGAGTTATTAATATAGTCAGCTGCCTCTGCTGAGCGACAGCAGAGACAGGAACATCTGGTCTTCTTTCTGTCATCAGCACTGATGCAGAACTCACTCAGAAGCAGCCATATAACGACCTCTGCAGCAGAGCAATTGTGCTTAAGGAACCCAAATGGCCAACAGTGGCCCCGTGGAGACTATTTGCTACCCCCTATATGCAGATGACAACATATGTTTTTGTCATTAACTCTCCAAATGTGGATCAAAATTGATTATTGGATAAATAATTAAAGGCATATTAGTTAAGTGTTATTAAAAACCTGTTTAACCAATTTGAAGCCACAACTGATTTTTTTTAAATTTCCCTTTGAAGAAGTGTTCTCTGAGCTCGCCTGAGCACAAATCTGAAGACATTTTTCAAAAGCAGTTTCTGAGATACAGCCATTTTCATATACTATGTGTAATCTTTGTGCACATGGGACTGCTGATCCATAT